GAAAAAAAAAAAAAAAAAAAAAAAACATATTAACATATACTTGTATATACATGCATATTGGTTTGTGAGCATCGATGTCTTCAAAATGGAGAAGATATCCTTTTCACACATAATCAAAAGTTCTGGCGCCTACTAAATTAGATACAAAATTTGTTGATTACTTTATGCAACACTCTTAAGAAAACTTCTAGTACAAATGGCATCATATGATGCTATTATAACATGATAATATTAAAGGATGTCAAATCCTTGACGTAAAATTGCATATAATAAATATTTATGGTGAAGTATGAAATATGTTAAGGATGTGTATCATATTCTTGCGCATATAAAATAAATTAGACAAGGGTTCGAGAAAAGGTAGGACCATATCTTGATCTTGTGGGAGTTCATGGGGGAGATAATTTGTTAGAAAATTCAAAGGTTAGTGGAGACTCTTGATTTGTGTGGTTAGGAAAAAGTTTTACATGATCTCACATTGTATGCCAAAATTTATCTATAGAAGGTTGGGTACCTCCTTTCCTTGATTTTGGGAGTTTCTATACTTATGGGAGGGGATGTATACTTGTAAAGACATTTCATTACTCAAGTAAGCGTGAGTATGATATTATAAGTATATGATAAGATAGAGTAAGGGTGATGTACTATCCATACCGCCATGCCGAACTCGAACTCGACATCTCAGTGCAAAAGTGACCTCGGACACGCGCTGAGCGACGTCAGCTCGGTATTCAAATAGGTTATAACTGATCTCGGGCCCAAGGCCCAACGAAACCCTAATTCACACTAAGGTACGTGCATTACTTATACGAGACTCATGCTTCCACAAACCCTAACTTTAGCATCGGAGTCTCTTTTGCAGGTATCACCCCCATCTTGGAGCATCAAACGTACCAGTGAAGGAGGCTCACCGATCTTATCCAGCGGACCACCTCTACATCAGATCCCCGGTAAGAACAGGTGATAATGTGAGCTTTGAGCCTATTTGGATACAAGTATAAAATCGTTTTTAAAAACATCTCTATTGAAATACATTCTTTATTTTCAAGAAAGAAACTCTTAAAAGCGTTTCTAGCTTGTATGCAAACAAACTTATTATCTATAATGTGTGATTATTAAATTGTATATGGAAATGATATGATAAGGATCATACATTTTCTAGTTACTCATTTGACTTAAATATGTTTTTAGTCTTTCAAATTTAAGGTAAATTTATTTTTAGTCTTTCAAATTTAAAATTGATCTTTTTTATTCAATGTAATTTTCAAAAATCTCATTTTAGTCCTTATACTCAAATTCTATTAGAGAATTTGTTAAATACTGTCACACAAAATCTGCCTACTAGTGTCTTTGTTAGGAAAACATCACATTAAACCCAACTAATATTGTATAACTGTCTTAATATGTCACTTTTAAAATATATTATTAGTGACTTAAGGAACTAAAACAAGATTTTTAAAAATTATAGGGATACAAATAATTTTAAATTTGAGGGACAAAAAACAAATTTACCTTAAATTTGAGAAATCAAAAACATATTTAAGCCTACTTAATACTCATACCTTAGTTTCCTTATTTAAGACTTATACTTCCCATGTTTGGTAGATTTTAGGTTATTTTGGTCGGTTATTTTGGTCAAAAGGTTACTAGGTCATGTTGGTCAAGAAGTTATTGAGTTGTCGTATCTAACCTTATCGGTACAATAATTGTATTTAATTTCTATTTATTTTCTAAAGTTTTTTATTAGTAATATTTAAATTATGTTACTAGTAATTTAGTGAATTATAGTCAAAATAAAAATAATAACCCTAAGAAGTTTGTTTGCATCGAGATAAATTAAAACCAATATATTATCTTCTTATGAAAATGATAATAATTTTTGAAATTAGAAAAAAAGGAAATATAATTTAAAGTTTAAATATTTTTTGAAACAATAAGTGTAATTTAGGATATATTTATCATCTGCATAATAGAAGGGAAGAAGCAAAGGGAATAAAAAGGAATAGGTGATAATTAATTTGATAAGAAATAAGTAAAAAATATAGTGAAATTTGTAGTTGATTGGTAGAGTGGAATTAAGTGAGAAATAAATATAAATTGATATTTAAAAATTATATTTTATTAAGTTAGATTTTTATGTAAAAAAATAATAATATAAAATTACCATTTTAATCTTTCATGTATTAATGTTTGTTGTTACAATAATGCATTAAGCTAATAGTTGAAGTGAACGCTAGCATATAGGAAGCGGGTTGAATTGTTATGTTCTTTAAAAATTATTTCTTTGTAAAAATTAGTTGCTCAAAAGTTGCTACTTCTAAGTGTTGGTGTTGATTATATCTTCTGAAAACAACTTTAGAAGTTCAGTTTCTAAGTGTTGGAGCTTAGAGTATTTTTTTTAAAATAGCTTCCAAGCTTAGTTATTTGCAAAATAGTCTATGTAGCAATATGATAGAGAATGCAACATTAAATAAATAAGTTTCCTTGGTAAAAATTTATTCTTTATGAAAATCTATTACTAAGAAGTTATTGCTTTTGAATGTTCAAAAGCTTAGTTTTCTCATGAATTTTTCTTCTAATCAATAAAAAATAATGAAAGATTATACAACAAATATATATAACGCATTAAAATAAATGTAGCAAGTAAAGAGATAGAATTAGAGAGATTGCACACTAAGTTTTGTACTGGTTCACCCCAACTTGAGCTACAACCAGTCCTCACACAACCTTGTGGAATTTTTCACTAAATCAACAACAACAATTCTTATTACATCACCATCCACTTGTTGGATTTTCAACTACACAATACACCCACCTATTGTTTATGTTCCACACTTAGCCACTTGCTAAGTTTCTTCCTTAACACCTGTGGAGATTACACCACTAGCCACCTGCTACTTGTGTTCTACACTTAGTCACCTATTAAGTTTCCTTACTCAACAACCTATTGAGATTTTAACCCTTATAACTGGTTAGCACCTTTCCTCTCCTTCCTACACTTTTGCACACTAGGTCTGGGTAGGGAAGGTTTTTTACAAGTAATGGGTTGTTGTATCCTAGCAACTGCTAAGATTACAACAATCTCTCCTAAATTAGGAGGTTGCACTAAGGAACTTTCACACTTCATTTTTTCTATTATAGAACTGATACAAATGTTGAAGTGGACACCATTAAATATATCATAGTATAGACAAGGTTTTTAACTTTGATAGTTGTAATTTCTCTTTAGTTTTGCTCACTTGAAAATGAACCCAATGTCTTCCTTTTATAGCCTTTAAAATATGTTCATTAGAGACAACTTGATTTTTAAGCAGTGTTAACATAAACTTGTACTTTCACTTTAGTGTTGTCAACATATCCTTCAAAAGTAGTTTGCTTTTGTGCTTCCTTTTGAGTATGCTTTTATGCA